TTCCTTGCCTCGCGTCTCGTCGGTGTTACCCGCTCGCCATCTGCATTCTAGAACGCGATCAGACGCATGGACGCATGCATGGATGGGCGAACACACGGACGGATGGACGGACGTATGCTTCACCCACTCATCATCATTCACTCCGTGCATATGCTGTGATTTTTTTTAATCTTGTCCCTTTTGCAGGAGAAGTTAGTGAAGCCTTTTTTTTTGTTATGCAATATTGCGAACATTTTTTCACTCATCTACATGTACAGAACATAAACGTGGATTTGGAGCTTCTTTGGTACACTTGTTTACGGCACTGTGTGGGACCCTTCAGTGTATTGAGGCTATTTGGAAGCGTCAACAAACGGGACAGACTAGAGCAGAACTCAAGAGAAGTGGAGACTGAAACTTGCATTCATTCACAGAAGAAATGAATGCCAAAATGAAATGATGATGATATGTGGGGTTTAACGTCACAAAACCACCATTTGATTATGAGAGACGCCATAGTGAAGGGCTCCGGAAATTTTGACCACCTGGGGTTCTTTAACGTGCACCCAAATCTGAGTACACGGGCCACAGCCAAAATGAAATCAGAAGAGAGGAAGGTACAACGGGATTGAAAATTTAACCGAACTCAAGATTCGTCCAGAAACGAATTCTCGCAATTTAAAGATGATGCAGACGGTTAACTCACACAGTTTTTTTTTGTAAGCCTTCAGCGATCTCCCTTATTTTGAACCTGTGATTAGAATGCAGTAATGAGGGGCGGGCGAAATTCGGAAATTCGATCGCATTTTCTGCAACAAGCGGATATGTGCAAACCGGGACCTGCCTTCAGCACATTGTAGTGCGAACGCAGGCACATTCACGCAGCGCCCACTCAGTACGATACATATCCTGTTACTGGACAACGGAATACAGTAAACGACATTACGCAGCAATTGGCATGATTTGCACTACAACTCTCTTTCAAGGCGCTTGTTGTCACTTTGGTTTGCTCAAAGGATAGCACAAGGTATGTTTCTCCAATAAATCTGAGTTTCTATATACGCGAGAATGCACTTGGATAATTTACAATACAAAGAAACCGACGAAGGTTGAGACAATCTACTTTCGGGATAAGTTCAGTAGAATTTATCTTGGGTTACGCCAATCACGCTAATCACAAGTATTGAAGTATTAAAACGAATCGCCGTGCTTAAAACATTGTTTTATATTTTAAAACGGGCCTGAGACTCAAAGAAAAGCAATGATTTCTGCGGATAATCACTATGCCTGCACCACCTTGCGCATACTTGCAGACAAGTGTTGCGTGCGTGATGCGCAACTTAAGCTCCCTAACCACGAGGTCCTGTTTTCCTTTTTAATCGCGGGCCGGTGGAAGCACGTCCCGGTTGGCGTTTTTCCTCGTACGACGCAAGAGAAACAAAGAAGCGGTAAACAGCGCGTACGCGCGCAGCCGCTAAGTTTATTCACTCCGGCGCGGAGAGAGCCTCCACCGCGTGGCAGCGATGAGGCGTGCCCGTCGGCGGCTGAAGATACAAAGTTCAGGATTTTTACGCAAAACGGATCCGTCGGTCACCGAGCGAGAGGCGGCAGGAAGCGCGCCAGCCTTTTTCCTCGGCGGCAGCGCGGGCCGTCACTGCGGCGAGCCGCCCAGATGGCTGCCGGCCGTTTGTTGTTCTGTCGGGAGGCCCGCCTTTATTTTTAAACGGTTCCTAGCGGCGCGTCCACAGGTGGAAGATGGACGAGGGGGGCGGAACGATGCGGCTGTTCCCCGGCGCGCCGCCGCGCTCCCCTCCGCTGCGCGCAACACCTCTTGACAGGCCGGGCGCCTCTCAAACACCATACCCATCCTGCAGCATCGATGCGAGCCGCGCCGCCCGCTTAATAGCGAGCCCGTGTTTGCCCTGACAACCTCCTCGGCTCGCTCAACCGGCGTACGCCCGGGTGCACTCATCGCTCCGTCGCTCTGCACTGCGTAAGGTGCGCCGAAGGAAACATGTACCACAAGTTGGCTACAAAGACCCTTTAATCCGGCTGACAAGGCTCCCTAAAGCACCAGTAATAGAGAGATGGAGAGCAGACGTGGCGAATGTCGTCAAATGTGCAGTATTTGGAAGCGACGTTGAGGCATGTGTGGTCAGTGTACAGCAAGCTACGCTAAATACGTTTGATTATGTTTATCTCGTTGTTTTTTTTTTCATTTCTTTGTTTCTTCAGCTGAGAAAGCAACCTCCTGAATAAGAGAAAAAATATATTTCTCTGGACGTATATCTCGTATATGTGTTCCGAGCTTGGTATTGGCATAGGCGAGAAATACGCGTTTTGGACAGCTCGAGAGAAAAGGGTAAACTGACGTTTATTAACGAGAGAAGATAGGTTCGTTGAGAGTTGTGGGGAGAAAGGCACTTGAAAAAACTTATACGGGTGATGACAATGTAAACCACCCAAAAACGAATAGGAAAAAAAACGTAGCTCACCTTTTGTGCATTGTGTGCGTTGGGGTACGTTGAACGTGACTTGAATTTTTCATGTAATGCGCTACGATATCGCCACATTGGCCGTGATTTCGGTTGAGCGCTCAATTGTCAGATAAACGCTTGTACTGTTTGCGCTTGTCATATAGCTGTCTATTTCGCGCAGTCTTGATTGATTGATATGAGGGGTTTAACGTCCCAAAACCACCATATGATTATAAGAGACGCCGTAGTGGAGGGCTCCGGAAATTTCGACCACCTGGGGTTCTTTAACGTGCACCCAAATCTGAGCACACGGGCCTACAACATTTCCGCCTCCATCGGAAATGCAGCCGCCGCAGCCGGGATTCGGTCCCACGACCTGCGGGTCGGCAGCCGAGTACCTTAGCCACTGGACCACCGCGGCGCGGCGCACGGTCTTCCAAATACTCTTTCATATATTCTCTAAGCATGTCGATAAATAATGTGTATATACTCGCACTGCAGGGATACGAGGAAAACACACGACCAAGAACCACGCGGGAATTCTTTTACTTGTGCTTTTGTTTCTTTTCATCGGGGCGTTAGCTTTTGAGCTATCTCCTTAACACAAGTTCCTATTTTGTTCTGTTTAATTTCTTTTTTTGTTGTGATCATAAACTGTATATTTCTTTCTCTATTTCTACCACATTCTGCTCATTGAAATCGTTCGTCTAACACATATAAGCTATATAGTACTGCTGTTCTAACAGTTGTCACAGTTATATTTCCCTACTTAGCTGTTGTTACACTACCTGCTTCTCTATAACTGGTATCATGCATTTAGCGATAGTTTTCGAAGATACGCGTGCCTACTTGTTCAACCTTCGTCATTGTACGAATATGGTAGGGGTATAAAACAATATTGCTTCAAAAAAATGAAGAGCGTTTCTGTCAAGGTTGTAATCGTCTCTGCGACTAAATTTCTGTAAACGTGGTTAACATTAAACAAAGGAAAAGCACAATGATAGTTTATCCTACACCTACAAAAAAAAGAAGTACGAAAAAAAAGACAAGTAGAGGAACGTGGCCTTAGATGCTCATAAATTTCATCGTCTCTATTAATCACCAGCTCAAGCTAGGATCATTCTATCCGCAGTACATTGATTCTTTTCTTTTTACCCCAACAGGATATCAATATATAGTCTGCCCCCGCGTCAGAGCAAAGGTAAACAAGTGCGATGCAGGCCTTCTTGTGTGACCACTCTGGCGAAGCCGCACGTGTTACTGCGGAAACCTCGCGTTTCACCTGTTTCTGTAAGGATAAGCCGAGGTCGTAAACATCGTCCATCGGACGTGCCTGAAGCTGGCGCCGCGAAGGAGATTCGCTGTAATGAATGGCCGTCCAATGTGCAGCTATTCGCCTCACCCTTTCCCAACCGCGCACGGGAAAGCAACAAGCGCGAAGAACAAGGAGCGGGGAGGCTATATTCAAAACTTTCTGAATATATATGATGTGAAATCGTGGAATACATAATGAGAATGGAACGCGGCAAAATCAGTATGCCGCCCATATTTAGCAGATTTAGAGCAAACAACCCACGCCGCTTGATCATATATAGACGTGATCAGGGTTCCAATGTTCCAAAGTTCCAAATGTCTACCTTTAAAAAATGTCAGCATTGTCATTGTCGGAATGGAACTTAGAAGTGTGGCAGCTTGGGCTAGTTGGTATGGCATGACGATAGTTCTCTGTGTCGTCGTTTTGTTCTCACGCTATAACTATCGTCGCAATGGAACAGCAGAAATGGCTAACTTAATTAATCCATCTTTTTTAAAGAACTGTGGTGAGGGATAGTTGGCGCAGATCAACAAATAAAAACTTAGGTGACCTCAAAGCTTCGCCTTTAAGAGTTGAACGCGATAGCGATATCCTGTTCCTAGTGCGTATTTCAAACACTCAGTGCATGAAACCTTTTCGAAATTGCTATGTACCCACTTAGTGGTCTTAAGGGAATAGGCGCAGTTGCGTGTGTGCTTTTTGTAGTGGGTGACCGGCTTTAGAACATGACGCCGTCATGATAATCACGTGTCCTGATGCCCGTTGGCAATGGGCGCTTGTACCACGCGTTATTACTGCAATATTTAGTGCTGTATTGTGAAACAGGTACACAGGAAGCTTGTGTATGTAAAGCATGAAAGTTACTTTCACTGCTTTTCCAAGCAGAGGAAGTTATTTTCACTGTATTCACATGCAGAGGCGTCGCCATGTAGCAGAACATCTGCTTGTCACGCAAACGACCCAAGTTCGATCCCCACTCTGACCTAGGATATTACTAAAATTTTCTTTTATTTGCGTCGTTCTCGAGTTTTTGCTCACGCTTAAGATGATGATTTTTAACTCACAACCAACGACGCCGAAGCCAACGCAGGAATTTCAGCGAAACGAGCTCTTTAATGCTATCGCGTTGAAACGAGTGTTCAGATAGTAAATGGTTCGTTAGTTTATCAGGTTTAACATTCCAAAGAAGCTCAGACCATAATTCACGACGTAATGGAAGGCTCCGAAAGTTTCATTTGATGCTTTTTTAATGAGCCCTGCATGATGCGCGTCTCTATCACTTCGCAGCCATCGAAGTGGTGCCGCCGTAACCGAGGCCGAACCCCCTAACTTCGCATCAACAGCCATACACCATATACCTACAGTACCACATGCAGCAGCGGACTCCAGCCGTTCTTCTCTTTTATCTGGTTCTACACCTGCAGCAAGATCTCCGTGAGGTTCTGGGTGTGTACGGCAACCACCATTGAGCCACTGCAAGAAAGAGAGGGAACAATTCTTTAGTTCATTCCCGGAGATGTTAACCTGCCTCATCGCCTGACTATATAGATTTACTAGAGGCGTCGGGTGATGGTTATTGTTTTTCTGTATGCAATCATTGTATATACTGCAAGAGTTAGATGTATTTCACCCACAGGCGCCAAAAATCAAGTCGCTCTACATTGGCGGTATATAAAGCTTACTCTGACCGAATTTACGATTGCACAGACAGATATTCAATCTTGAGCGGCCATAGCGTGGCTGTGGCTATTTCATTGATCGCTGCGGCAAGAAGTCTAACATAAGCCCTGCCAAACATCAACTTGGCGCGAACCTATATGGCTCCACATCCATGTTCCATGTTATTCAACATACACAATACAACTGGGAAATTGGTGCTGAAAATTTCAATGGTGACAAGTATGTTCTTAAGAACTGCTCGAATAACCACTGCCTCAAGAGGTGTTCGTAGTGGTAGATGTGTACATGCTACTACTTGATTAACAATAATGGCCATACCACCGTATGACGCCACAGCATCATTTCTGTCTTTTCGGAATAATAGCACATTGACGCAGTAAATTGGTGTTCTTTGGTTTTAAGTGTGTTTCTTATACCGACAGTACTTTTGGTTAATGTTTGTGTAAGAGTTCTTGGACGTCATCGAGGTTCCTAAGCAGTCCTCTGACGTTTCATCGTATAATTTGTGTTTCTATACAGGGAGTAATGTAGTGCTGTGTGTACGAAACGCGAGTGACTGATGTCTCAAAGAGAAAAGTGACCTATTTTACAAAGCCTTTGCGAGGCCCTGTAATCAACGTTTGGCCTTTCTCGGAGTGGTAGAGGGGCTCTCGCCGCTCCTCTGTTGCAGTTTGCGCCAGTGGACAAGAAGTGTCCATCGGAGATGCTGATGTGACGGGCAGCCGCTATACCGAGCGGTGTTTGCGGATGGCAGACTTCGTCATGGCAGAAGAAGCCTTCAGCCCCACTAGGCCAGAGGTCGAGGGGAGATCTTTAGATACTGCTGCGTCACCCTAGCCGCTGCGAGAGCTTGCAGCAGCGGCTGGTGTGGTTGCTTCGACATAACGCAGGGTGGTCATGGCTTCTCCTACCATGGAGGCGGGAGGCGGCGGTGCCAGTACGCTGGACGTATCAGGGCTGGCCACCTGAAGCCGTTGGGGTGCTGCCCCTCGTTGCACCACTTGGACAAACGGTGTTTTGCTTGCATGATAAGGTTTCTTTTTTATGGTTATAATTTCTTTTTTTTTTTCACGCACTACATGACCTAAAATATGCCGGATGGTTACCGTCGCAGTTGGCGCAGTGCACCTAGGCAATGCGGCGATCATACACGGAGTGTCCCGTGATACCGCACTTAGCACAGGTTGGCTGCCCTCGGCGAGTCTGCGAAGCATAGCCAGATTTTAGGCATTTAAGACACCACCGTGGATTTGGTATATAAGGCAGCTGACAGGTATATAGTTTCAGGTAGCCGGTCGGTATTTCGTCTGGAAGTGTGCAGCACCCGAAGGTCACGATTATATGCTTGGCTCGCAATTATTTGCTTTTTCTATTTATTATGACACGCTGTACATGTAAGGCATTTCCATCTTTCAAGCCAGCCAGGAAGTCATCGTTAGTTAGGTATATTGGGTCGTCGTCTGACACAACGCTTTTGACGGTGTTCATGGTTCTGTTAGGAGACCGTTACAGGGTTGTCCCCATATGCTACTAGGTCTCTTGGTTTACAAAACAGTATCTTGTCTTTAACCTCTACCATAAGATCTCCACTGGCCATCTTGGTGGCCTTAAAGTCACTTCCGATGGTTTCGGTGAGGCATCTAAATACAAGAAATGGTGCAATGTTCCGGGCTTTTTTGTCTGGGTTCTCGCAGTGAATGACGTAGTTCTTGAAAAAAACAGGCCTTCTTTTTTTGGAGAAAAAAAACATTACAGCATATCCACGGAGTGAATGATGATGAGTAGGGCGAAGCGTCCATTTGTCCGTGCGTGCTTCCGTCCGTCCCATTTGTTCTTGCTTCCGTGCATCCGTGCGTCCATCCATGCATCCATCCGTGCATCCATCCGTCTGTCCATGCGTCTATCCGTGCGTCCGTTCGTCTGTATGTCTGTGCATCTATCCGTTTGTCCGTGTGTCCGTCCCTGCATTCGTTCGCGCGTCCTTCCATGCGTCCGACTATGCATCCGTCCATTCATCCGGGCGTCCGTCCGTCTGCTTGTTTGTCTGTCCACCTATGCGATGAGCGATGTCCACATGCGATGAGCAAAGAGGCTGCCAGAAGCAGCACACAAGACTTTTTAGGCGCTGCGCACAAGGCATGGTATATGGAACTACCCTAGGCTGTGGCAAGTTCTATATCGGTCAAACGGGGCGTTGCATTAACGACAGACTGAGGGAGCATGCCAATAGTTCAGGCAAAAGTGATCATGCGCATCTTCCAGCGCACTGTAAAGTCTGCGGATGTGTGCCTTTGTTTGAGAAAACGGTGATTCTTGGTAGGAGCAAAAAACAAACAACCAGAGAGCTCTCGGAAGCCTATTTTATCAAAAGAAAGGGCCTGATTGTATCAGTGATACATCTATTATGTTGTACTCAACAGAAATGCAGTTTTTGGATAACTTATTGCCTTGATCATGACGATGTGCGATGTTGTTGGCTGTGCACGCATGCGCGATTTTGTCTTCTTTCCTGTGCGTTTCATAGACGGTCATTATACAGTTGGTAGTTGGCGCTGTTCTGTCTTCTCTCCTGCTCTTCCTGCTTCACAATATGTTTTTTGCGCCTCAGTCTTCTGCACCAAGTATGCACCAACGAGCCCAAAAACAAGTCCTTTTTGAACTACAAGACATTATCGGTGGATCATTCTACAACTATTAACTTTGGAACTGCGGAGGATTAGTGGTATAAATTTCGAACCAGTACTGTGGGTCACTCTGCTGTCGGTTTATGGGTGATTTCTTGTGCCCCTCTGCGTTAGAATCATAAACGTTCAAATAGCGGTCCCTTATTTGGAAACACGGATCTCAGTGTGAGACGGAGAAGTAGATTTCTGTATATTCTGAGTGTGGCGCTTTTTCTGTTGCTTTCACTGAGTTCTTTAAGTTTAAGGAATAGCTTTCCTATTCTAAAGCACTCTATCGCTGCTTGCGCTTCTAGCAGTAAATGAAGAGCCTGTTAATTTTGAGGAAAGGAAGTCGATGTCCAACTTTCTGGGTAATTTTGTCAGCATATCATCTTGTGGGATCTGGGATACGGAGGCAGTGTAATGTAGCCCCAGTCTGTGGTTTCCCACATAATGAACTTCCAAATGAACATCACAGCAATTTGAACATTTGTTACTGAATAAAGTAAAATAAAATTACTCAGAAAGGGGTTTGACATGGGCAGGTCCTAACGCAGGTGATTTGCGAAACGAAGTAGGTTAGATAAGCTGAAAATCGCGATAACTGTGGATGAAATAGACGTAAAAGCATGTGTTAGTGTGCATACGCCGCTTTGTTCTATTACGTGCAAAACTACTACTGTTTAAGTACGCACATTTGACTTGCTGGTAATGCAAGTACCACCGTTATTATCGGTTTTGTTTCATTGTGGGGCTGTAACATGTGGAGGGCCAAATGCTGGCTGCAAGACCTCGATGCCACGCCGCCATCGCCACATCTGAGGGAGAGAAAGAAAAAGAGTTATTACGTAAGTGACCTCCGGAAATTCTGATACTGTATCAAGAACAATAGCCGCCATTGTGAGCGCTGGCAGGCTATTTCCAGTGGTCCAATACATATATACATGACCGTGATAGGACGAAAAAGCATTGAATTTCATATCTTTTGATAAATTATCATGATATATTTTCCAAGGGCTACTGTCAATGGGAGTTGTTAAGCAAATCAAATCAAGATCTCTAAGTCGGAGTTTAATGCTATGTACCTTGGTAGCACGTGTGAGAGCTTTCGAAATATCGGAAATTTAAGTTTGTGGCTTTTCCAAAACAACGTAATTAGTAACTACGTATTGGAAAATAATCATGGCGCTATAATCTATTAAAATAACACAACTTGTACCAGTGTATACAGTACGAGCTACGCTAAACACTGACGCAGAGCATTTAAAAAATAAATGTGGAGATTTATTGCAAGTAAGAGACCTTTCGTGAAGCGAAGCTTTAGTCAAGCAGGCAGTTCCATTCTATGCAAATAACCATGACGTGCAAAAATGTGTTTTATTACACCCGATGGCAATTGTAATTTATTTTAGCAGTGTGGCTGTTCGGGTGTGCGTCTCCTATCTTCACCATTCTCGTCAGTGCGCAAAGGATATTGTAATGTAATGTAATTTTTAGGTTTGTACGTAACAAACATGGCTCCCATGATTTCATGCTCGCGCATTATGCGCCACTCACTTGGTATGCTGTAAATCAAACGAACAGGTAGATGCCCAGTGTGAGACTCCAGCAGATCAAAGTCGCGAGGACTATGGATATGAAGGATGCTTGTCCATGCACGTGTATTATTGACAGGCGCCTGTACGTAGATGTACGACGCGTATTTATACTCTGTTTCAGAAGTTCCTTTCAGCACTGTGAAGGCTACATGAATCCTCAGCTAATAAAATGGGTGATTATCCCCTACGCTTGTGTTAATTCACGCCTTCTCATCTGCTTGCTGAATTGTTCATACACAATCATTGCATATAAGGCTGGTTTATTAACTTAAAGATACAGTAAATCTGTGAAACAAGCAGTCACACCAGGAACTTGAAGCGTGAATTTGTTGCTCTGCTGACGATTGGTAGACGCTCATGCCGGCGGAAAACTACACTTTGTGACTGTTTCTCTCCGACGCATTTCCTGGCTCCCGTCTAACTGCTTCTCTGTCGACACGTTCGTTCGCGTCTCTCACTGCAATGCTTCTTTTCTCTGGCACGTGCACGGAACGCTGTGCCGTGTTTCATATCCGTTGGAGGTGCAGCGTTCTTGGTCTGGCGATGCAGCCCAAGCACTGCCTCGGCACGTTAGTGTTAGCAGGTACGCCTAAGCAAGGAATAAATATCACTAATAACGAGAAAGCGTACCTGATGTTTTATCACCAGAGTAAGATGAAACAAATCGATGGCATATTTCACCATTCATTTGTTGCTGTCAGCGCAGTGGGCGCGAAGCAAGAGCAAGTTCAGATCAAAGCGGGCAATCGCTTCAGCATGGGTGCTGCTATGTTGATTTGTAGACACAGCTACCGGTGGTAAGCGACAAAAATAATTTCATGTGTACAAACGAGATGCAAAGAATAAACGTATCACACATCGATGTGACGTAACACACACCAAACAAATGCCAAATTTATTCAGCGTGGTCAATTTTAAGGCACTTATTATATCTGGGACTATGTTTTTCTGTGCAAGTGTGTGGCTTTCTTACACCCCGTAACTTTGGTAGTGCTGAACCAAAGTGGTGAAACAGAGTATAGCTACTTTTAAATGTTTCCTCAGTCGGCACAATCGCAAGTATTGGTTATACAGGAGAAATTATAAAGTGCCGTAAAGGGGTTAATATTTTCGAATGAAGTTTCGGATGCGTACGTTATTAGATAAGTTGGAAGGAATTAAATTGTGATGTTACGTCAATCAAAAAGCATTGCAGTTCTTCATTAGTTAAGAGCCAAATTCACGAACTGTGGTTCGCCACGTCCCGTGGAGAGCATATTGCGCAGACATTCGCATGTTACTTGGACTCCCTCTTTTTCTATGTCTCTCTCTCTCTCTCGAGAAGAACGTCTCCCTCAAGATGGAGGGTGGCAAGATCTTCAGACTTGAATTTAGGTCATTTTCGCTCAAGACAGGTGAATTCATTATCTTCTCTGTGAGTTTATCTCTACCCCCACCTCATTTTTTCCCATCTCTTTTCAAGCCAATTAAGCAGCATACAGTGAAGCCAACGAACGTATACGGGACGTCATTTGTAGTCTTTCGTGACTGCAGTCTAGTAATCATGATATAAATTGAAAGAAGTTAAATGGGACAAGACGACTACTGCTGACAGGCACCAATCATATACAAACCTCGAACAACGCGTCAGGGGCTAACCCCCGTATACACAAACTCTCCTCGACTCGACTTTCAGCCTGCACTTGACAGAGTTGAGCACTGCACCACCACTCGGTTGACGATGACACTGCGCTACTCAATAATCGCAGCAGATTATCACTGATATGCAGTGACTTGCCGTGCCTAGACTAGACGGCGCTCTCATCGGCTTTCTCAAATGAAGGTCAAGCGTTGAGTGAACGGACGTCCTAGAATACGAGGAGCTATTCACTTGAGCTAAAGCAGTGGTCGTCCTCCCGCCCACTACCTATAGCGGGGAGTCTAGTTCTGGCACCCTTGACGCCTTCATCTATAGCATGCAAAGGTGTATTGGTCAGCTGCTAGCTCGGAAGACGATGGTTATGGGGCTCGGCTGTTGACCTGAAAGTCGCGAACTTGATCCCAACCGCGGCGGCCACCTTTCGACGGAGGCACTTGTGCTGCGTGATGTCAGTGCAGGACAAAGAACTCCAGGTGGTCTAAATTTCCGAAGCCCTCCACTACGCGGAGTCTCTCATAACCATGTCGAAGTTTTTGATCGTGAAACCCCAGATACTGTAACTATAAAAAGATCACGTGCTGCACGTAACGCCAGCTAGCAACAAAAAAAAAGTGCGTTCAACACTTGCTGTCAACTCTATACGAGCAGCACAGAAATACCTGATGGAGTGGGTGACCCGGTTTAGTGCGAGGAAACTGTGAAGCTGTAATGATTGTTTAGCTTTGTGGAATAATCTGATGAAAAAATATGTAATTTGCTGTAGAGCAATAGCAACGGTGTAATAAGAGCTATGATAACAGAGGAGTTACATAATATGAGAAACATTTTTATTACATTATAGTTAATAGTAATAACATACGTTCAACGTACCCCACATCTTAAGGGAAAGAATGAAAGAACGACTTAAAACTGGGCAATTACCTAAATAAAGACGTAAGATGTAATAATTCTGCGCCATGGAAATTGAGGAAAGAATAAAAAGAAAAGCTAGCAGGCCGTACAACGTCGTCAGGTGGAATTACAAAAAAGAATAAATAATGATTCTGTGGTGATACGGTGGCTACAGTGCTGGAATACTGACTCGAAAGTCGGGGGTAAATGCCCTTCCGCGGCGGTCGCATTCGATGAAGGTGAAATTCTAGAGGCCCCGCCATTGTGCTATGCGATGTCAGTGGCAGCTAAAGAACACCAGATGATCTAAATTTCCCTCCACTATTATGGGTGTCATGAACAAATGCTGGTTTTCGCAGTTAAAACCCGTGTTATTATTGTTCCAAGGAAAAAAAACGCAACGTACACTGTCATTACGTCCCGTTTTTCTCATCTCAGCGAGATGCCCTCCTTACTAAATGGCCACTTGGAAGTCAACGGATGGTCCATTCATTATATAAGCAAGGCTATGCGACAGACCTAGCAGCGGTCGTCATTGTCACGCGGAGGTACAACAACTCGGTGAACTTTGTAACTCGTTCTTTGCTTATCTCTATGCAAATTCTTCCTCGCTCTTTTATCAGCGCGCGATGTCACGGGCGACCAAAGGCGCACTTGATGGGAGTTCGGACTGCCACAACCTTCCACGTCATTCACCTACACTTCACCGGTCCTCAAGATCATATCAGTATCCCCCTCACCATTTTTGCGAAACAGTCAATGTCACCCACCGTGCTCTTCGTCGTGACGTTCCCCTGTAAAGAAGACTGTTTTCCTGTCATTTAGCATCTACGGTCATTTGAGCAGTAAATTCCGCACGTTGGGGGCAGAACCTCATTTCTCAGCGCGCTAACGACAGACGGTCGACGCCTTTGAGACGGAACCAACACGGGTATCCGGTTACAAATGGTCGTTGGGCTCTCACTCGCGACTCTTTTTCCGACTCTGACACTGCCGGAGCAGTTTAGCGGCTGACGTATTAAGCGACGTGGACGCCATCTAAATGGGCAACCTTGGCAGGTGGCGCGTTTCTATGGGTGGGGAGGAATTAAAAAACCCCTGTGTGCTTAATTTTTTTACATGTACTTTCTTATGTACACGTACATGCCCATCTCTTTCTCGATCTAATGCGATACCACATGTTGTGGATGTCATTTATCGCTCACCTCAACCTATATGCTCACGCGCACCAACACTGCCTCTTTGTAAACCCATGTGCTCAGATTTTGGCGCACGTTCAAGAACCCCAGGTGGTCAAAATTTCCGGAGTTCTCTACTACGGCGTCTTTCATAATCATATGGCGGTTTTGGAACGTTAAACCTCACATATTATATCAACACTGCCTCATTCACACATTTTAACAAGATGAACAGGGCTTCTAACAAGATTAGCCCCATAATGTGGCTGTTTCTGGTGTACTACGCCTGCCACACCCAGGGTATGATTACACTCGTGGTCTCCACCAATGAACAGCACGCCTACATAAAACGACGACTGAAACTAGACTTATCGTTCAATAAATTTCGTGTTCTCTTTATCGGCCTTATAACGTTGCTTCTGAAAGCTTCAGTTATATTGCGAAACGAATTGGTATGGTAATACTGATATCAATGGGCCCGCAAGGGGCTCTCTCGAGGCATTTAGACTACA